ACTTATTTGCAAGGCCAGCTTGCTGTTGTCGAAATAAACAAACAAATGCGACCTCGTTGATCCAAGAGTGACATGGTTATAGGGTTCGTTAGACTGTGTGGCGTAGAGTAAAGTGGTAATAAAAAACAGTTTTTTTTACACTTGTAGACATGGCAGTGCCTTCAATGCATTCAATATGTTAAGAAATAAAAGACTGGAAAAACAACAACGTTTTGCAGAATTCACCTGAATGTCGTAAAACAGATAGCAAAAAGGAGGTACCCACACCTGTACCTGCCCCTCAACAGCGACTGTCCACACCACATCTTCGCCCCCAACCAGCAACCACAGCCAGTGGGGGAATTGGCCAGACTGGAATCAGTCCTAACTGTCACTACAAGGTACCAATACCACCTACACCCCAAAGAAGAAGCTTCCCCAAAAAAGATGTTGATGTGTGCTACCCCACAAAATGTCCCCAACAGCGGAAGGACACACGATACATTTGGGTCACCAGTGTGGGAGGCACTCTGTATGAATCCATGCTTAATGGAGTTCCATACAATCGTTGGAGTTCTAAAACATAAGGTGGGGACATGTAAATACGAAACAGTTGTAGATAATAAATGTGTGATTCAGCCAGGTGTGCAAAATCACCTGTTCACAATGTGGTTACAGTGACCCTGTGACAGATAAGATAATAATTTTGTATATAATATTGTGTATAAGCAACGAAAATAAACCCGTAAACGGTCCCAAAACTAATATACGTTTTTTCAACATTTGAAAAGTATGTAAAGAAAGTAGAAACTTTGATTTTTTACAAAGAAAATGTGTTAAAAATGTAATCTACTTTTGTGTAGATCACAGTAGTATAACCAGTTTACCAGTACCAGTGAAAACCGTTGACATCAACGTACCACCGTCCACTGCCTGAGTCACTGTCTGAACTCATGTGCTGACCTGGCAGTATTCAAAGACCCTCTCACATATGGGTACTGTGGGCGGCCAGTCAGTCATGTTAAGAGAGCAGAGGAGATAGGTAACGGCTGTAAGGTCGCACTTATCCACCATATCTGTAATTTTACTACTACCAGCCAACTTTAGTATTTTCTCTACCAAATCCACGTGTCGAACTCCCACATGATAGTAGCACTACACGTGAACGTAGATCTACTTGGACCGTTTACGGGTTAATATTGAAATCAAAAGAATTACTGTAAAACATAAGAATCATATCATGAAAACCAACAAAAGTAACAAAAAAATGGAAAAAAAAAAACGGTAAATAAGCAGAGTTTCTGCAAGCGGCAGCACTCCATGTTGCTGTCAGGTTATCGCCAAGTGCCAACTTCGCGTGCCTCATATCTCAGTAAGTACTGACCCTAAAACTTTTTTTTATCCTATAACACTTAGAAAAATGTGCTCTTTTTCTATAACAAAAACGATTTTTTTATTTTTCAAAATAATTCGGGGCACTGGGGTAATGAACTAATATTATACAATTTGGACCGAGTTAAGTATAATTCCCTTTTCTCCCCGTTCATGCAACTCGATCATACCCCCCTAATTCTATGCCTTTCTAGAGAAGTGCAGATTCTGGCCCTCAGGTCTAGTTCCTCATAGGAAATCTCAGATAACTCAGGATCAACTTTGTCCTCCATCCTTTGTACGTTATTCCAGTGCAATACAGTGGACAGCCCCGGTTCGCAAAGTCATCGGTAAACCGCTTAATCCGTTATCCGAAGCCATTATATCGCCAAAAAAATTGCCATCGGTACCAGTTAACAAAACCCAGTATGCAATATGATTCATACAGACATGTCCCACGTGTGCCTTGAACTGCCCTGTTTTGAGGCCAGTGATTACAAGCCAGCCCGTGTGCACAACGGCAACTAAGGAACATTCGGTACATTCCATAATCTCCATATAATCCCTGTTTTTGGTGCTGTTTCTGCAAAATAAGTCCCAAGGCCCAAGAACGCTTCTAGTGCCAACCCCTCGAGACCAAGGGTGCTAATGACTATTGAAATAAGAAATAGATAATAGCAAAGTATGAAAGTGGATGAGTGGTGTCGACCTGTCCAAGTTGTAATAGTAAATCCCAATCAACCAAAAACTCTACTATAATGAGCAGGAAAAATGGCAAACAAGAAGCTGTTCTTGTAAAAGGAGAAACTGTGAATTACAAAACCAGCGATCGCAAATGTTAGAAAATGTTGAGAGACTATTATTGGTGTGAAAAATGAAAAACAGATAGCTGGAGATAGCATACCGTCAACATCATTTTTGAAAAGGCTAGGCATAAGCATGAGGATTAAATTAGAAAAATGCCTGCAACTAGTGGTGATGTCAGTGAATTTAAGGCCAGCAAAGGTTGGTTTGAAAGATTTAAGAATCGTAGTGGCATACATAGTGTGATTAGGCATGGTGAGGCTGCCAGTTCAGACCAAAAAGCAGCTGAAAAATATGTGCATGAATTCAAGGAGTACATAGAGGCTGAAGGACTGAAACCTGAACAAGTGTTAAATTGTGATGAAACAGGCCTAAATAATAATGTATATTAGAGCTGATTTCCTCTATTCTGCTTATTACAATATATAGTACAGTACTGTATAAACATTTAAAATATACTAAAAATGTTATAAATGGTGCAAGGGTGAGATTAAAACAATATCAAAGATGGTTGACACAAACCCACTGCCATTATAGTATGCTCCTTGCTTAGCAATGAATTCATTTACTGACGTGGTCTTAGGAACGAAACTCCGTCATTAAGTGAGAAGCTGTATTTGCATCATCCTGAGAGTTGCTTTCAGTCACTAACTCCTCAAAACCATAGAATTCATCTTCACTTCCACCTCCAGCCATGTTAGAACTATGACTTGGGAAGAGTAGGTTCGCAATTCTCTGGAAAGTGAGGCTTTCCTTACTACGAGACATGGTAAACAAAGGGTAATGAGATGGTGTTCCCACAATGCTATGCGGGCACCCTGATTTTTTGTATACTGCGCACACTGACTGCGCAGACCCATTCTCTCATATATAGGCCTACCGACCTTCTTCCGCTAAATCTGAAGCCGCTAGAATTTTGGTGTAGTACTACAGCACCAACCCCAAAAGAGGTCAAGCAACTTGTAAACTATAACTAAGACCAGTCAATAATGAGTTTAAGTACTGGTCAGGTTTCATTATGTTTAGATAAGTTAGTAAAATACAGTAGGTTAGGTTAGGCTAAAATACAGCAGGATAGATTAGGATAAAATACAGGTTAGGTCAAGTTAGGTTAGTCATGTGGGGTGGGTTTTCTTCTTACACACATCAATTTTTGCAGGCCAAGAGCTGTTATCCTACATTAGCTCATGTCAAAGCCAGCCCAGTCTAAGATATTACCACTCACCAGGATGTGACTCACAACAGTCGACTAATACCTTACTGCTAGGTGAACAATGGCAGCAGGTGTAAGGAAACCATGCCCAATGTTTCTACCCGTGCTGCTGGGCATCGAACCCTGGACACTCAGTATATGAGCTGAGTGAACTGCCAACTGAGCCATGGAAATAAATGTAACCTGACCTAAGGAAATCCAATATAACTCAACCAAATATAACTTAACTTCACCATCTTTCGGCAGAAGAAATGGTACACCTTTGTTGAAATATGATGGACTGCTGTGATTGGTCCGTCGCATTATCTAACTCAATATTAACTGCTGATTTTTGGTAATATTTCCCAAAATAAATTTTTGCACAAGTATGTAATAACAACTGTTGCCAGTACACACATAACATGCTTTTATTTTGCATGTTCACCAACATTTATATTTAGGTTAGGATAGTTATGCTGGGTTACTGTTTGGGACAGTTCTACTAAATTTATATACGAGAGACCCCTCTTGGGCAAGAGGAAAATATCAACTTCTCCATACATATACATACATACATACATACATACACAGCCAATAATTTTTACAGCTGGTCTAGGCTAAGTTTCCCAGTTTTTATTAGGTTATGTTATTAAACTTGTCAACATAAACCATCTTTCTTGTTTAAAATATAATTAGCTTCACTGCACAATCCAATTAATAAAAAATTACGCAAGTGATATTTTGCTCATTATCAGTAAATAAAAAATTCCCACAACAAAATTATTTTCCCCATACAATAGATAACATGGCTATTATTTGTAATATAAAATACAAATCGATCCATTTCATAGGGAAATATACATTATGATCCCACTCTGGCTTTTAACTAAAAATAATAGATAACTAATGTATGTTCATCCCTATACACTGACTCATACTTCATAACATGTTAGACCAGAAGACACAGAAACCTTATAAAAATGCAACCCTTATTTAAACATGGCCCTCATGAAAATGCATGGCCCTTATTAAAACATGGCCCTCACGAAAATGCATCACTGATTGAAAAATGGATGTCAATAAACTGCATCACTTATTAAAATACTGCCCAATGAAAGCCTGAGCCTTATTAAAATATGGCCCCCCTCAAGAAATGTCCCTTATAAAAACATGACAACATGGCCCTCATGAACATGACTCATGAAAACGTGGACTAAATCATGGTCTTTATTAGAGCAAGACCTTCATGAAAATGTGGCCCTCGTGAGTATGTGGTCTTAAAAACGTGTCCTTTATTAAAACGTGGCCCTCATGAAAACATGGCTTTCAAAATATTACACGTGAAAACGTGGCCTTCAAAACATGACCCTCATGAAAACGTGGCCCTTATTACATCATGGCACTTATTAAAACATGGCCTTGTGAAAACATGGCCCCTCGTAAAAACAAGGTCTTCACGAAAACGTCACCCACATAGAAATGTGCCCCTCGTAAATACGTGGTTGTGAAAACATGCTCCTCGTGAAATCCGAAATGACAGCTGGTAAGTAAACAGGAAAAGAACAGGACTGAAAGTATCCGTAATCAGTCAGGCCAGCCCCATCCCCCCTTTTACTGACCACCTCATACCCACTTTACAACCGCTGGTACTCACCTTGGACATGTCTTTCCTGCATATCGGGCACTCATTCCTGGCACAGAGTACCCTCATCCTGGTGGAACATTCATAGCAGACGGGGTGATCACACTCACCGACGCTGTAGATCTCCACACCTCGGAAACACACCACACACACCTCATCTTGCTCCTGCTCCGCCATCTCCACCACCCGCGGGGTCTCCACCACTGTCTGCGACATGGTTATATTCCAGTAATACTCGTCAGCAACTCGCTAGAACACCACTACTCCCCCTCTGGGACTGAGCTACTGTTACTCTAGTATAGATGATGAGAGAACTGTTGGCACTGAGGAGCGCGGCAAGCTGGCCACCATAGATGGCGCTGCTCGCATCAATCAACATATTCTGATCTCTTTTACATCAACCCAACATACTTCCTAGCGCACACTTATATGCGAGTCTTTCTGGGACGGATAACTCAAGAAATAATAATAATATTTTTATTTCTACAAGTACATGTACAAGGTATACAGACTTAACTTACATCAATGATATACTACTATACAGAAAGCCGCTTGTTATACTCAGATCATTTCGGGCAAATTAGGTCAGTTTTGTCCCAGGATGTGACCCACACCAGTCCACTAACACCCAGGTACCTATGTTACTGATGGGTGAACATAGAAACACAGTGTAAGGAAACACGCCCATTATGTATAGGTATACTAAAGTACAGTTACACAAATTATCATACATAGTAACATGTATAAATTACCTAGGAAACCCATAAAAAAGTCAAAGTGACTTATTTCCATAGTTAGTTTAATATTTTTATTATGCACCCCATACCCATCCTGTGGGCGGTAGTCAAAAGATTACAGAGGTACATAATTGGTCCAGGGACTGGACTCCAAAGTTTTGATAGCTGAGCAAGTTACAGAGGTAATGAACTCACAATTTACAAAGGTAATGAACTCACAACTTACAAAGGTAATGAACTCACAATTTACAAAGGTAATGAACTCCAGGTAAGTCTGGTCACAATCATGACAAGTTACAAAGGTATTTACAGATTACAGAGGTACGTAATGGGTCCAGGGACTGGGCCCCCAAAGTTGTGATGGCTGAACTAGGTACAAAGGTAATGAGCTCACAAGTTACAAAGGTAATGAATTCTGTAGAATGGTTACTTACGTTTATACATGGCTACAATCATGAACAAATTATAGAGTAATGAGCAATTCACACTTCCACACCCGGTCACAACTGTAGTGAGTTATTGGTGCAAATATTGGGATACTTTTATACCTTAGGGATACTTTTATACCATAAAAGTTAAAGCAGCCAAGCAGTGGGGCTTATTTCCATGTATGTCTTAATATTTTCACATAGTAAGTAATATTTTATTTATGTATTCTTGCGTAACTTACAGGATTTGCTTTACAGTGGTCTTAAGTGAACTTATATTGGTACTCACGGTTCATGTGGGAGGCGCCTTACCTCAGCTGGCGTCATTCTACACCCGCTACCTCAGTTCACCTAACAGGAAGTAGGTTCCTAGGTATTAGGCGACAGTTGTAGGGTCGTATCTTGGAGAAAAGGATTAAAGGACTCCAATGAAAATCAGAGTTAAGACACATGTGCAACATTTGGTTATCTTTATTGTAGACGTATCGCCTTCCAGTGGCTTTATCAACACAGATTCTAGGACATATTTAGAAGACAGTAGAACAATATACAAAAGATGAGGCTCCCTTTACAGGCGAAGGAAAAGAATAACAGAGCGGCTAAAAGAGGCCAATATATCTGCAATGCGTAGGGAGACACTGGTCAGAGAAATAACAGACACCGAACAAAGGCTAAAGGAATCTGATAGGAGTCAGGAATCGCGGGAAGAACTAAAAGCCATAAATGAAATCGAAAGAAACCAAAATCAAAGTCGAGAACAACATCCAGTATTGTACCACTATTTAAACAAGATGGGTCCTACACAGATGACAGCAAAGAAATGAGTGAGCTACTCAAGTCCCCCCCCCCCTCAAGGAAGGTTCAAACTTTCAAACTTTATTCTCTATAAGTATTACAATGCTGAGTTTACAGAATTTGGTTATTGTTGGTGATGTTGGTGAGGGGCTCTTGATTTAGGGAATTGGATCTGTGCTCCAGTTCCCCGAATTAATTAAGCCTGAATGCCTTCCACATCCCCCCCAGGCGCTGTATAATCCTCCAGGTTTAGCGCTTCCCCCTTGATTATAATAATAATACTCAAGTCCCAATATGACTCAGTTTTTAGCAAGCAGCTAACCAGACTGAGAGTCGAAGATGTAAATTATTTTTTTTTATGGGAGAGCCACAGAATTTGGTAAACACAAGCCTATCTGACGTTATCTGACGCCAAATGACTTCGAACAGGCGATAAATAACATGCCCATGCACTCTGCCCCAGGGCCGGACTCATGGAGCTCCGTGTTCATCAAGAACTGCAAGAAGCCCCTATCACGTGCTTTTAACATCCTATGGAGAGGGAGCATGGACACAGGGGTCGTCCCACAGTTACTAAAAACAACAGACATATCCCCACTCCACAAAGGGGGCAGTAAAGCAATAGCAAAGAACTACAGACAGATAGCGCTAACATCACATATCATAAAAATCTTTGAAAGGGTCCTAAGAAGCAAGATCGCCACCCATCTAGATACCCATCAGTTACACAACCCAGGGCAGCATGGATTTAGAACAGGTCGCTCCTGTCTCTCCCAACTACTGGTTCTGTTCGCAATATCAAATGCAGATTTTAGATCAAGAAAAGTGGTAAAACTAGTAGAGGTGTGTGCAGTGAGAAAGATGGAAATACAGTTCTGCATACTTTTACCTTTCATGAGCCCATAGAGGTAGGGGAAAAGTTGGTGTCTGATTCTGTAGTACAGTCTGTTAAGTATCATTCTTTCAAAGGTTTTACAAAGACAACTAGTTAAGGAGATCGGCCTAAATGTATCAGGCTGTTGGGGCTTAGGGATAGGCACAATGAGACTATTGGTCCAGGAAGTAGGAAGAACGCCCTCAATGTAACTGAGATTATACAGTGCCAACAAAGGGTTATCAGGTACGTGCCTTAGAGTTCTGAGAATATCATAGGTTATACCATCCTCTCCAGGAGCAGTTGATCGACCTTTAGTTAATGCATTATCTAATTCATACTCGGTGAAGAGGCAATCACTCTCATCAATATTTTGGCTCATAAAATTAATCAGTTTCAACATTTCTTCAGAAGTACTCTCTAAATTTGTTTTAGTATGAAATGGAAGGTTTTCATGCCTGGATGTTTTGGACCAGTCATTTATGAGGTCATTTGCTTTTTCAAGAGGAAAGGGATGAGCAACATTGCCAGTCTTTTTCCTGGTTATTTATTTATACGTTTCCAAGCCAAACTTAAAGGGGTGGACCTATTTAATCCACTAACAAATTGATCCCGTTCCTGTTGCCTAAGTTCTTGCTTTCTATTCCTTGCATTTGTTAGTGCAGCTTGGAACGTTCTGAGCAGGTCTGGGGTTCTACATTCACGGTATGCTTTACCAATCCTCCTAGCCCGGTGGCCTGGTGGCTAAAGCTCCCGCTTCACACACGGAGGGGGTTCGATTCCCGGCGGGTGGAAACATTTCGACACGTTTCCTTACACCTGTTGTCCTGTTCACCTAGCAGCAAATAGGTACCTGGGTGTTAGTCGACTGGTGTGGGTCGCATCCTGAGGGACAAGATTAAGGACCCCAATGGAAATAAGTTACAGTCCTCGATGACGCACTGACTTTCTTGGGTTATCCTGGGTGGCTAACCCTCCGGGGTTAAAAAGCCGAACGAAATCTTATCTAGCTGCTGCATGTGTTAGATTGCGTAGTTCTGGATCATTATAGTATTTACATTGGTTTTTATTGTCATTTATAGTGGAGGGTCTATGTTTTCTTTTCCTGCCCACTTGATCTGTTAAGACAGTCTCAATAGTTGCAACTAAATCATCATTAAATTTTTGTGCCAATGTGCTCGTAATTCTTATACCATTGATCCAGGTGGTTAATAAAGTTATCTCTGTGTTCTGGGTTGAGAATAAGTTTCCTCCTTCTGAATTTAGCTTCTTGACTGCTGAAGATGTGATTAAGATTGACAGTTGTTAGTCTTGGGAAGTGATCAGATAGAAGATCATCAACTATAACAGAGTCATGCATCGAATATGATGTATTAAATCCAAGGCACAGATCTAGTATGCCACCACATATGTGAGTAGGCTCTATAGTGCCCACAATTCGAACATTATCATGCTCATTTAGCAATTTCACTAGTTTAGTTCCATTGGTGTTTGTTATAGACCCACCAATATTCTTATGTTTGGCCTTAAAATTTCCAAGAATAAGGGTAGGTTCACTATTGATGTGATCTGGTAAAGTATCAGGTCGAAGCTGGCTCGCTGGGGCATAGAAATTAAAAATGTTTATGGAAAAATCGCTTGCATATACTTTGACATCATGATACTGCATGTTTACTCGACTCTGCTGGGCAAGGAGTGAATGTAGCAAGTTCTTTCTGACATACATCACACAACAGTTGGTTGACCTTAAGTTATAGGCTGCGTTGTTACCCACAACAAACATATATCAATATTTAATTAACTTCAATTTTAAATCCCTGGGTAAGCGCCGCAATACCTTGAGTATACCTGAAGGGTGTTCCGGGCCCTCGCGGCCCGGTCTATGACCAGGTCTTACGAGACCTGTCATAGCTCTTCTAGATTCTGTAAAGGATAACATAACCTTTATAAATAATAATAATAATAATAATAATAATAATAATAATTATATCTTTATTTACTACAAGTACATGTACAAGGTATACAGGCCTAGCTGGCATCATCATTACCTTTGTAACTAGTTCAGCTATCATAACTTTGGGGTCCAGTCCCTGGACCCATTATGTACCTTTGTAATCTTTTGACTACCGCCCACAGGATGGGTATGGGGTGCATAATAAAGATATTAAACTAAACTAGCTGGCATCAGTGACATACTATTATTTATTTATTTATTTATTTATTTGGACATGATACATAGATGTACAAAGAAATACAGTGGTTAAGTGTAACATGCCAAAAGCCCCTTGTATGCAGAGCATTATGGGCAGGCTTAAAATTAACTTAAGATTAACTAAGCAATGATATATTCAGTGGTAAAAAATTATAGTAAACAAATAACAGTTAATCACAAATGAGTATTTCAAAGACAGGTCATATGGTCATTTACTGTGTTGCTGAGCATTCAGTAGAATGGAGTATTCTGTTTGGTAATGTAATTAAAAAAACAAAGTTTGATAGGATCACAGGTGTG